ATTTTCGAGTTACGCGCCTAACACAGTTAAATATATGCTAGAAATTCAGAGTAATTTTGGCGACACTTTTTGATGTCACTTATTATACACGTAAAGTATTAAAGATTAAAATAACAACTGTGAAACATCTATGAAATTATTTCTCAAAGATGTATCGTCTCAAAGATGTAGCGTAAATTATGATGAAGTATTTAGCTATTTAAATCGCTATTTCAGCATTTGTTAATCGCTATAAACTGCTTCATAAAGTCAACAAAGTGCACTTTAGTAACCATGATCATGCTACTAAACTATTAATACAACTCTTTTTTTCACACAAAAATATTGTTAGATATTATTTGCAAAAGAATTTTAATACTTATATATACGCGGAAATAAACTACCTGTCAAGTTGTACCAGAATCCTAGAAGCAATAAAGGGATGTGCTAATCAATAAAATTCAATATTCGCGTATCGAATTGTTACGTTATGTCACAATTGAAAATATTAAATTGAGGGTGTAAGAGAGAGAGTTAATTCGTTTGTCGAGCAACGTTACTATCAACCAGGGAGAAGAAAATCAAAATGTTTAAAAAATATTTCTAGAATATACTCGACAATCAGTGGCATTTATCGTAGAAATTTATCGCGTACGTTGTGATAAACAGTACGTACTTTGCTGGAAGTTTATATAAATATCCATGACCTTCATCGCTCCATAGGATAACCCTATCAGCCGCCAAGAAATCACCTGCCATCCAACGTTCGCCACGTGGGGCAGTTATCGAGCAAAGAACTGAGAAATCACCAGCATCAAATATCTATAAAATTATTCCAATGATATATATTGCAGTATCAAGGCAGTTTTTGATTATATAACAGATGCCAATTAACATAAAACGTTTTAAAAAATGTCTTGATGCTGAAATTTTATTCTTGAAATTATTTAATCTGATTTGATGTAATCCCTAATCTAATTTTTATAATAAACTAAAAGTCTAATTATATATTTGATGATAAGTACAATAGTAATTACCTGCCAATACTTAGAGCATACAATCAGCACTGTTCTCTGATTATAAGGGCAGCAAGTCATTGCAAGCGCGTTCAAGCAACGGATCTGTTTGCTTTCATGTTCGTATAAAGGCTCGCTGTTTCGATTTTCGTGTCCCAAAAGCGTCCACACCTTGACTGTGCCCGTTGTCGTCAGAGCCAGCACAACGTCGTCTTTAAACGAATGGAAGCGCCTGTTGCGCGTTAAATAAATCTAGGAGAGCATTGTAGCAATTTAAGCGATAGAATGTTTCGTTAGGAATTCGAACAGTTTTGTTGTTCGCTAATAATAAAAAATTTGCCAGCTTCAATTAATCAATATAATTAATTTACAAATAAATATTTGTCAGATTGAGTAAAGCAGCTAAAGTAGTGTCACAGGTGATTAAAGATAGCGTTATTCTACATAGGTACACAATATAATATTCGTGAAGCGGTAATAATTCTGTATACGTATAACGTATTACGCGGACATGCCAGATGTTTTTATGGAGTAGAAAGCAATACGCATTAAATTACAGCGAAGTCATGCTTAATTCCAGTTATGCAGAAAAATTATGTGTACTTGATTTATTTGACTTGACTAAGCGAAATCTTATTTTAATGATTAAAAGAGTATTAATATGTACAATTAATGGATATTGATATTTTTTGTTACTGTCCGTCCTGTCCTTAATATTTACTTTAAGGCCTTTGTTTACTATTAGTCTGACTTTATGCATATAATAATATATTTTATGAGTCCACATACAATTAATAAGAAAATGTTGGCTATCAATTAACATTCTAGCATAATTACTATAAATATAAATAGTGCTAAATAAAAATTAGAAATTAATTTTAGGGCGAATTACATTTAAAGCTGTAAACACTTCATCCAAAACTATTTTATAAATTACAAGATAGAAAAAGGGATAGAAAAAATATTCTTCAATTATTAAATAATTTTTTTGTTCAGTTTGAAGAAGTATTCAATATGATTTAAAACATTATATGTTTTTAATTGTCACAATGGTACGGGAGATTAAATTTATCAATAACATAGAACGCGCAACTTAAATGTTGCACGCGTATAGATTATATTATAATATTACACACACACACACGCGCGCGCGCGCGCGCACACACACACACACACACACACACACATACACACACACAAATTTATATACTTACGAATAGAGATAGAAACATAGTACACCAGGTGAAAGTGTTATGAAAGTGTAATGAAATGCAATGTGCATAAATATAGATGACATTCATATATGAGTAACAGGATAGTTTCATGGGTACTATGTTAATATAAAAAGAAGAAAAATGAAACGAGTTAAAATACTAATGATTATATTGTTTGATAATGTGCAAAGAAATGTGTGAACCATGATTAAGAAAAAAAAATAAACGAAAAAAGTGATACAGCCTCGACTGCCAACGCATTAGCGCTGACGTATGTGTCCGGTTTCATTAACATGCTGCAACAATGTAACTGTTATTAAGTGATCAATCCAAAAATATTAGATATATAAAACTGCTACTATCAAACTAGATACAATAATGACTTTACTCGCGCGCGTAAAATTGAGTAATAGATTATACAAAAATAATAGTTCGATATATTGATAAAAAAAAAAACAGTTCCTGTTTATATCCAAAACATAAAGCTTCTTGAGGTTAATTGCTTAATAAAAGAATAGTAAAATAGCAGATTATCCTAAGAAAATCCTAAGAAAATTTTAAGTACAAAAGAAACATTTGTACAAGTGCCTCAAATACTGTTAGTTGCTTTAAAATCATACTAGTATAATCATTAATCATTATAAGAATTATTATCCAACTTAATTTCATTCAAATCAGATACAAAAATCAATCGAAGACACAATCGAAAAGGAGAAACTTTACCGTTAAGTATCCACAGTTCTTTACTTAAAGTTCTTTAAAATTTTAAAAAGGATCACATAAGTTTACAAAATGAAACACCAAGAGATACTGTTTCGCGTATTATTGAATTTTTTTTTTTAATATTGAGTATTGACTATATATAAAAACTATTAGAAATAGAAAGAAAGTAATTTTAGATATAGCAATAGATAAGAGATTCAAACCAAAATTCTCGCGCTAAACTTTAAAGACAAATTCAAGCTACATTGCGATTTCTCTTTATACAGTATCTGTTGGCAGTGAAATTGAAAAAGGTAGCTGTTGATGGTATAAAGCGTAGGTGTGATGGAGTGTAACTAACTTGTATGCACGTAGAACCGACCTTTCCGTTTGGCCGGCCGCAAAACGTGCAAGGCGCTAATCCAGTCTGGATTGACGCGGGAACTCAGGGTAAACAGCACTTCTAAACTGAACGGGTCCATCACTAAAACCTCGGGATAGTATCTGAAATGAAAAAAAAAGATGTATATATATATATATGTATTCTTGATAAATGCGATATTAATATTGTAACATATATATTACTAATATTATTTCTACCCAGAGCAAAATAATCTGACATCCTCTCCACCTGCGGAAACATAGGGCAACATTTGGGTATGAACACTGTTAAGCTTCACTGCCTCGCGACACTTTCCATCGACTAAATCCCAAGTGCACATTTCTCCACTTTCGCTGCTGCTGACGATGAAATTTTGCTCCATTACGACGCTAGCTCGACTGAGACACATTATTGGAGCAGTATGTCCAACCAACAGGCATCTCGGAGTCATCTATATTAAAAACCATTTTAACAAATCAATAATGAATGAAAGATTAAGCTTTCTGCAATTTTATTATTTATTATTTTATTATTTATGTATATACCTTTAATGTTTCTGGATCCACTTGCCACAGACATATTTGTCCATCATAACATCCTGTTACCAAAGTCTTTTGATCCCGAGACAAGTAGACACAAGAAATACAATGGGTTGGTGCTATACGTCCCCACAGCACTATGGGTACCACTAAACTGGTTCCTGCGGTCATCTTTGCAGACAATCTGAAAATAATTACCAATGCAATAAATAAAATCTATATATTTTATTGCTCAATACTAATGTTTCTGAGATCAACCAAACTAACCAAAACATAACTTTGTCACAAACCAGAAAGAAAATATATAATTTATTACAAAAGAGTTGGCTTAGAAAATTAAATGTCAGAGTAATTGTTTCAAAGTAAATACTGTCTGTCACATGTCTCTGGATTGTCAACGTCCAGAACAATGTCCAAAGCAGAAAAGATAATTTCCAACAGTAAATTACATTCCAAGTTGAAATATACAAGTTGATATCAAACGGATAAAGGTAACCGCACAATACATTGACAAACTTGACAACTACGACTACCTGACGCGATACGTCAAACATAAAACTGGTGAGGTGAAACCAATTGAGGTAAGATCACGGGATGCGTTTGACGTGACGAGCTAATAAACATGAAATCATATTTATTGAATTTATTCGTAATCATTAAACTTGCGAGGGGAGCTGATTGAGAGCGATTAGAGGAGTCTGCTACATCACGGTAAAATGTCACAAGTCACAAGGTGCTGTTGCTGCTGACGATAAGGTATGCATATACTATGTATACCTTCGAGAAACTGACAATAATCGCATGGATATGAAACCAGGCGGGGAATAATTACCGCGAGTCAATCAAGTACTGACAACCTGTTGAAATGTCACAATTGGCGATATCTATCGAAAATCGCCTAATCCTTACTGCATTTTCGCAACCATCACTAACGACAGTGATGAATTCATTGATGATCACTAATCATTATCAAGTACCACAAGAGTGACTAAGACTTACCGACTGACTATCGAGGGGCAAGGACGATGCCATTGATCGGACAGTGGCGACAGTGCGATCGAAAGCAATCAGCTGTTTCGTCTGGAAAGTCCCTACAATTGGCCATACAGAGCTGCGTTCGGATTTCCACCTGAGGTGCTTCCTGGATGTCATATCATCCTTGTTGTTCATCGAACGTTAAACAAAGATGACATGACACCCGAGGAACACCCGGGTGGGAATCCGAACGCAGCCTAGAGCTATAGATCTGTTTGCTTGAATCCCCAAAAATTTTTGAACTTAAAATGAGATAGATACATATTTGGGCGTTGAAAAGAGAGAAAGCGAAGATGCCGAATGCAAAAAGTACAAACAACGTGAACAGACCTACGATGTAATCGGTAACATAGTTAAAATGCAATTGGTAAATGAATTAATCAGCCAATTAAAGCCCGTAAATCATAACGATGAATGGCGGACATCGTATGATAAATGTCGTAGTGTGAATCCTACATTTCAAGTGATTTCAAGTTGGGCTCGTTTAGAGTAATCTCGAGCAGCTCCTGAGAGAAAACGAACAATACTTAAGTAAACATTATGAGGTCTATTCTTTGTGACTGAACTGGGCTGAACTAATGCACTTCTGGAATTTAAAGTGAGATAGATATATATTTAATATTTGACGAAAACACAAGAAAGAGAATTCTGGTGCAGTTTAGTGCAGTAATAAAAAAGAAGATATAAACGGTATGAGCCATTTATTGAATGTGATATAAGTGCGCTTTTTTTTTAACCTACCTGCATGTAAGTAAATCCTGCAATTTTCCCTTATATACATCTTATAACAATTCGCATTTTTTCTCCACTACAATTATGTAGTTTGTTTAACCTTTCAAAGACTGAAAAATTTTTGTAAGGCAATATCTTACTTTGCCAGAGAGTTCATCGCAAGCAGTAACGAGTGCTGCATGTCATCTATATTTTTGGAAAGTGTGATCGACTTTAAACGCGCATTTAATTTTACGTTACTCACGAATCTACATTTTCACTAAAGTTTTTACGTTATTCTTTAACAGGTAAATAACGCCGTTACTTTATTGATCGTTGCCTTATTATAATGATTTTTTAATGACATTGTGAATTTTTTATGACGGTAACATCAGAGTTAGAAAAGTCAATCGTTACTTGTAATAGATTGAAAAAGTCATTTGTTATTTAAAAAAAAATTCGCGTATTGATGACGAGTTACTTTTCAAAGTATCTTTTCTAACTTAAGTACAACCTTAGTATTTATTTAATTAACGTCATAAAAAATTACAACATTGTCATCAAATCATTTATTATAAAAAATAATGGCAAAGTAACTGAAAAGTAACGTTTGCCAACCCTGATTTTTAATTAGTTTTTATTATTTATACTCGTCGCATAGGGCAGCTGTTTCGATTCTGGCCACAGCGACTCTGTGATAGGAGTTGGGGCCATTCTCTCTCTAAGAAAAAGAATCTTACTTTGCCTTATATCTATTTTCATCAACGTAAATTAACTTTAATCTCGATTCAGCTTACCCTTCGTCTTTTTCTAATCTTTAGAATTGGAAAAAGACGAAGAGCAAATTGAACCGAGATTAAATTTAATCTACATTGATGGAAACGGACATTAGTAAACTTAAAAGTTAGAGATTTAGATTGACGAAAAGCACCGTGTCGAAAACCCGCTTGTAAAAATTAAAAATGATTTTTGTAGACAGTATTTCAGAAGTGCTTATAGTTCTACAATAATATGTTATAATATAAATTAAGTTTCATATGTTGATGTTTTATCAACACATAGAACTTTATTTATATTTATGTTCTTTCTCTGATAGATTAATTTGCATAGTAGATTAATTATTATATTTGTTCAATTTATTATATTTGTTCTTTACAAAAACTTACACAGCTCAGATGACCTTAACTTTGACATATGTTGTCGAAATCGTGATCCTGAGGTTAAGGTCATTCGAGCTGTGTAAGTTTTTTGTTATGAATTACCCAATTATCTATTTACAACAAAGAATTAGAACAAATTTTTAAGTAAAGATACTTTATAGAAAATGTCTTGGCTCTTTGGCAAAAAGAAGCATAAGGATTCACCTCCCGAAAGGGATGAGCAAGAGGAACAACCTGCCACAGATCTGGGGGATGAATTCATAGTAATTGAAAGAAGAAGGCCTTCTTTGCCACCTAATGTTGGTGACCACAATACTTTTTATCCTAATAGATTATATCCATTTATTGATGGAACGGCAATGAACCCTACAATATCAGATGGTAATTTACCAAAACTGACTCAACAACTTGATGCTCCACATTATCTAAGTGATGTACCATTTAAGTTATGTAAACAATTGCAAAGTAACATGAATAGTGATTTGGAGATAGACAGTCTACGAATTAGCGAAATAATGTCTTTCATTGAAAGATTAGAGAATCAGAATTACAATTATGATTTCTCTCTTGAAACTGGAGTCATTACAGAAATGGATAGCAGAACTACCGACTGACTTGAAACTTTTTTAAGTCTTATTTTTATATATGTAATGAGAATGTAAATTTTACAAATCAAACTTATAGCCCGTAAGAGTTCGCACTGATTTGAGTTGGATTAATGATTGCTTAGCTCTCCGATTGATAGAATATGTCAATAGTAGAGCATTAATCCAATCCAAATATAAACTCTAAAATGCTATTAGATGTATACACATGTATCTTTTAATTATATACACATGTAATAAAATTCATTTTAAAAAAGCAAATATCGCATAGTATAATAATGCTATAATATAGCATGATGCGCAACCTGCGGCCTTGTGGTCTTCTGATTCACAGCCATAAAATTATATTTTCTATTTTATGCAAACGAAGTAAACACGTGAAAATATTCCTTTGAAGATGGCCCTTAAGAAAAGGTTGTGTATCACTATTATAGAAAACGTAGCAGTTAAATTTGATCTTTCTATTTTATACAGACCATTTTTTTCACGAAAAAAAAAACGTTCCTATTTTTCATATAAGAACAAATAGAAACGTGACATTTTAAATAGTTACAAGAATAATTAATACACGAATATTTAATTTTTAAGAAAATTAAATATTTGTGTTTGCAGACTTGAATTACAAAAAAAAGAACTAATTAAAATTTATTTTTTACATATTTTATATTTAAATTGCACATAAGGAAAAGTGTCATTGCCATTATTGTTACAATACTACACATGTAATTAAAGCCTATATTTGATTTTACATGTTTTATTAAAAAGCTTTAAAAATGCTTTAAAAAGAAGACAGTTGTATTGATTATATAAAAGAAAATGTAAAAATAGTAAAAATTAATTTTTTAAGCATACATAATATAATGTTATGAGAAGCCATATATAGATGCCAGATATAGCCGTATATCTTAAACTTAATTTTACTACATAATGCTTACATAATTAATGTATATGTGTATTTTAAGTTGTAAAAATTAAATAAATTATATTTAAAACATGCAACAAATGTAGGTAGATGTTATATACTAATAGAACATTGCATGATTCCCTTCAAAAGTTTTCTGGACATACGAAATTCTTTATAAATAAAAAATCTGTACCTGAAGCTGCAATAAAAAAAAACTGCTATTTCAGAAAAACTATATTTATATATAAAAATGTTTTTATTCTTGTGTTAAATTCTCATAGGATTTTATAGAAAAGATTATATATTTTAAATATAGAATTATATATTAAATTGACATGTTAATCTATTCTAATTATAAATTGATTATATATATAGCTGCTGATAAAAAAAGTGATAAGTAAAAAATTCGTTTAGAGTGCAGTATTCAAATTTACAAAAAATCCTGACATAATTTTAAATACATATAATTGAAAGTATAATAGAAATATATGTATAATTGAAAGTATGGTGAAAAATGAAGTTGTGCATTATCTTAATTAAAACTTTTCAATTTAGAAATTAAAACGTGCTCTGAAAAGTTACTAATTTTGAGATATCTTTTTTCTATTAAAGCAGCGATATATGTAATTAATATATATAGATTTAAATTAATATACACATAAACTTAATACTAGTATAATTGTAACAAATATGCAGAAAGGTAACCAGGTCTTAAGAAAACCTAGAATACTGAAATGAACATAATAAATAATTATTAATAACAGAAATTACATACATAATTTTTTTTTTCACATATATTGTTTTTACCTGACGTATTTTCCATGAAGTAACATAAGTAATGCAAGTTTTACCATGTTCCAACTGTTCGAGTTACCATACGACATCAAATTCAAAGCTCTTGCCACATGTGAGTGGCAATTATCACAGCACAAATTATGCTGTAAGAAAGTTAATTTTGCATTGCAAACATAAGAGCTTTTTTTATCTTCTCATTTCGTTACCATTCTGGTTTTATAAATTTCGCTAGCTTCTGCCACACCAGCATCCCATCCTTGTATACCTCCTTTGGCTTTGGTATAATCAAGCTGCCAATATTTGGTAGGTTTACCAAATGCCATGTTGTCTTCAGAAACATAATAAGGACCAGCAAAATCCCTTATTATTCCTGTTGACGTTGCAATGCCCATGTGTCCAATAAAAGGTAGAATGTATCTTGAAAATAAAGTAAATTATATTAACTATATAAACTCCATAATTTATTTAGCATGATTAACTTTGACTTAAATGAAAAATTCGTATATTTCACGAATTATTTCCACATTTTACGATTAATGTCAATGTATTGTATAATAATAAACATTAGTCTGACAAATATCAAATATGTAGAATCGAGGTTATGATAAGAACACATTTAGAATGACTTACGTTAGAATGGGTAACGGAGTCCAAACGATACAGAAAGGAAATCTTTGTCTTTCCGGGTGGACACTGAGATCCATCTCGGGCGAATCATTTGACAATTCTAGAATATCTGTCAATAAATCAGGATCTCTCATAATTCGCTCGTACAACCAATGCAACGCAAGGTCACAAACATGTGAAGAGAAACCCAGGGCCTCTATTGGTCTACTCTTGAAAACTGTCGCATACGTGAAAACTATGGAAATACTACAATATACGTTACATATATTATAGCGAAGAAATTTGAGAAAGAAAGAAGACATGAGAAAGAGAGAGTATCGCAAAATGCCTTGCGCATTACCATCTTTTGCAGAAGTGGATGTTAACAAGAGCTGTGTTCGTATATTTCTGTCGATTGTCAATATAGTATATACGTAACAGGAACTATTTTCAGTACTGGCAGTCAACTGGTCAACTGTTAGTAATATACGAACATGACCTAGGTACAAATCTACTTTTTTTGGAATCGAGTCCAAGAACGATCATTACTTGAACGACTGCGCATCCACGGGAATGGCATACTGGAATACCTATTATAGAACAAGTCAGAATGAATTTCAATCGAAATTATTCAGTTTTCCTTATAAAACACAATAGAAAAATTTAGGGCATAATTGAATAATTCCGATCGGTTAACATCTCGATTCTCGGAGCAGAGCGAGGCAATTATTTCTGCCAGATTCTTTCGTTTCATGCAGAAACGCGTCAAATAAGCTATTTGTGCCATTTCTAATTTCATCATTTATTATTATTAAAATAAGAATAGAATGACACAAATAGCATCTCCCCAAATATATCTCCTTTAGGTCCGGTTGCACCAACGTTACTTTAACTTTAAGCAAGACTTTCTTGTTTTCTTTAAAGCGAAAGAATCACAAGCGTTCACTCAGACACTCAACTGTTGAGTTTACTCTATTGAATCATTGACGTAATAATATATAAAGATATGTATGTTAATGTTTCGCATTTTATTGATAAAACAGAGATCTCGTTGAAATTCCCCTTAAGCTCAAAAATATGCTCAAGTAATTATTGAATTACATAGAAAGGTAATTTAAAAAAAATCGAATGCTACTTGTATTGTACTATATTGTATCTGTATATTTCTTATATAGAGACTTGTAGAGACAATTTACTATAGCGCTTATAGACATTCGAATTTCTCTGCACAGTGACAAAGTAATCTACTTATATCATACGAATAATTGAAAACTTACAGTGATAGATTACAGTCAAAATCGCGTAGCATGATAGTAACCGTAATTAGAATAAAAGCGTATTAAGTGAAATTATTTATGTCTGTATCTTAAAAAGATATATCTACAGTGTATTCCTTGGGAAGTCATTAAAACTAATCAGCTATCATTTTTAAATGCAGGGAATAAGAAAAATAAAATATTTCTTTTTATTAGACATTTGTCTGTCATTTATATAAGAAATAAAGACGAGCGGAAATATTTGCATTATTTACAACAAAAATCTTATTTTAGTATACATATGAAATAAAGACAAGGAAATATTTGCATTATTTAATTGAAAAACATCAAATATGTCGTCAATTTTATTTTTGAAATACTAAATTCTTAATAATATATATTTCGGGAATTTAAAAATACTTTTTTTTGTCAAAAAAGATGTTTTTAAATTTCTAAAATACATGCTATTAAGAATTTAGCATTTCGAAAATATACATCAAGATCGACAAAATTTAGTATTTGTATAAACATTTAAATGATACAAATGTTTCCGATTGTCTCTACTTTTTATGTAAATGAAAGTGTCAAATGTCCTGTGTTAACAAATGAATACAGTTAATTCGTTTAAAAATGAATACAGCTGATTCGTTTTAATAATTCCTAAGACACACTGTATTAGATATTCCCATTTTTGAGAAGCATACAGATTTTCCAGGGTTGGTAAAAAACATGTTTTAAACGTATTTTAAATAGTTTAAAACATACTTAATTGATGTTTTTAATATGTTTTCTTATAGTACTGTTTAAAGTATATTTGAAGCATTAAAAATATATTTAAGAAAAAATACAATACGTTTTATTCTTAAAAAAAAAAAAAGAAAAAAAAACATTAGTCTTTACCAACCTTGAGATTTTCACAAAGCTCTGATCTAATTGAGCAGTTTCAATAAATACAATCCTATGAAACATATTCTTCGAAAATGTCACTATGCTCTATGAATCAATGTACAATGTACATAATCTGCTGTTTACAGTCTGCGTAATTTAGTTATTTTATATATATCGATCAAAAAAGGAAATTTGATTGTTTCCGATAATAAAAAAAAATTTATAAAATTTGTGTGCAACTTATAACAGATACATCATAAAATCTTTATAGATAATTATTAAGTTATAATTATGCGAATAATTCCATGATTTTTTGATAAAAAAAGCTAACGATATTTGAAAAATACGAAAATTATATTCAGTTAATTGAAGAGAGAAGAATTCCCTTTTTCATAATGCGACAATAAAAAATCGCCATATACATCATGATGTTTAATTCAACTTATAAATATTGAATTTCAAGCTGATTAAAATATACATTTTGTCACGACATAATATAGATCAAGAAACAATAGCTTAGCAGAACTTCCATCGATTTCCACACTCATTACACAACACGAAAGTAGTCATCGGTTCGTCGGCAGAACGCGTTTGCACCTGGTTGTACGTGCAGTTGCGCTTCTTGCATTTACCACATTTGAGCAAATCGGTCTTGGTTCCCTGCACAGTGGCAAGTTGTGCGTCATTGATGGCTTCTTTCTTGAATTGCTCACGTAGTTGTTTAATCTCGTCACTTGCCATCTCTTCTGCCGTCATTACCGCTAACCTAGCGGGCGTGATCGCACCTACCAAAAAATTCGTCCGGAGATTAGGATTCTTCACATCGCGCAAATTGGCAACTCTGCTGCGAACCTGTATTCAAATATATAAAATTATAAATATATTAATGCAATTTGGCATAAATTTACATTGTATACTGATGGCCATTAAATTACAATATCAAAAAAAACATGATGTTGAAATGATATTTATATGAAATATTGTTTATGATATATGAGATATATGGAATTTAGAATAACTTGTTTCTTATAAGTACAGCTCATTTTTATATTCTACTATCCATTTAATAAATTTCAGTTCAATATGAATTTTTTCCATTGCTGCAATTTTAATTAGGCAGCAGTGTACATAAGAAAAAAGTTTTAAATAAAGAGTTTCTAGGACTATACATGTGCACACACAATAAGAAGGGAAAGAAAACTTTTAATCCTAAAAATATTTGAAATTAATATTTAACCAAAGCAACATTTTTTTCATAAAAGTCCTATCTTTTCCCTTCAAAATGAGATGTAGATCAAATTCTGATCTCTAATATTCCGCGCGAGCGTCCTAAACATTTAGACTACTAAGGCAGAAAAAATTTTATATATGAAATAAAATAATATGTTTAATTACCCTATTTTTGTATCTGCTATCAGTATTTTTAAATTCTGCATAGATTGCTTCTTCCAATTCTTCTGCTAACTCTTCTGGACTGGCACAACCATCAATAACTTTTCCATCAACATGTAAAGCTGCTGCTAGTAGTTCTCTGCATTTTAATCTGACTGCATCTGTTGTGATAGGAGCAGGAAAAGACGACTGTTTCCTTTGAATATCTTTGAAAGGTTTTTCTTCCTTCACTTTTACATCGACATCCATAATATCTTTTTCTTTCTTGTGATCACTCTCTTCCTTCGCTTTATCTGACTTCTCATCCTTCTTTTTTGAACTACTTGACGACGTTGAATCTTTCTCTTTATTTGATCCTAATACCAAATAAATTACAATAAAATTATGCATATAAAATTATTAATGATATCTATATGAAAATTAATTACATTTAAGTATCATTATATACATACCTGATAAAAACTTTTTCCAATTCTTAATAAGAGTCTTTGATAAAGAAATAACTTCCTCATCTCTACTTGATTTTCTCAAGGCATTCACAGTCATTCCAATACGTGTTTTAGTCAAAAGCTCCAAGTCAACGGGTAATTTTTGGAGTATTTTAAGTAATTCCAGAGCCTGTTCTTGACCCTGATTGACAAAATATTAGATTTGTTTTTTATAACTAGTGTACACTTGCAAATAAAATAAAATAGATATACATTTGAAGTTTGACAAAAGCAAGATAGAATATTTTAGTGCCATCAAATACAATGACAAAGAATAGACCTATTATAGCTATTGTAAAGCAATTTTTGTTTTAGTATAAATTTAATACTGACATTAACATTGATATGAATTGACATTTTTTTTTCAAAAATAATGGAAAACAAAAACAATCATATAACAAGACTATACTTTTTAACAATTCAGTCTAATTACAACAAAAATACATTCATAAAAATTGTCTTGTAATAAAAGTAAACATTGAAAGATAATGAAAATTACGCAATATAAGAATCAAATTAAAGACTTAAGACTTTATTTTTAATTGAAATAATATATAGAATGAATAAGATGCCATGTAACAGTGTTCCATGGATAAACAAACAGAGCTTCCATGATATCTTGGCAATCATAGGTCTGTTCTTTTTAACTAAAGTTCTTACGCGGTTTATCTTTCTTCCTTTTCTCTCCTCGTTAGAGAGAAAAGATGAACCGTGCAAGAAGTTCAAGAATGTTCGCGGCTTTTGGTGCATTTGGAAATCGTATGCTCGGAATCACTGAAAGATGAAGGACGCTCTCCTAGCGTTAAAAGACCTCTTTTAACGCCCGCGCGCATCTCGACCAGTATACTACGATCTTTATTTTACTCACTTATTACTCACCGTCCCGTCACCACTCGACATTTTGTTGAGCTTTTTCTGGATACGCAGCACTTCTTCCTCGGCACTCATTGTCGGGGATTAAACACACGGTTTGCTGCACGAAGACGGTTATAAACAGTAAAAACGTGAATGCCAAACGTAATCTTATTGACGCTCACTCTCACTGCCGTGTCTAACCGCGTCTCGCCGATTGTTGTTAACCCGCGACATGAGGCGCCCCGCGCCCGAAGTTATGGCTGCGTTCAGCAGAACACAACAGCTTCCCAACTGTTTTGCGAGGTTTGTTCGTTATTGCTGAACTGAATCAGTGTAAAAAGTGTACACTGCAGCGTTCTTTATAGAACTGGATATCAATCATGTAAGCCCGGATCTACAATGGCTGTGTTGAGCGGACTCAATAGTTGAGTGAGCGCTCGTTGTTATTAGTATACTCTTTTAGCTCATCCAATCAGATCTAGATCTAGAAGAATATACCAATAACAGCAAGCGCTCACTCAACTGTTGAGTCTGGGCGCTAAATGCGCCCATTCATGAAACTTTTCCTATAGCGTTTTCTCTTGGCTGCACTATCGCCCACCAGGGCAATACTGAAGGCTTAAACACAATAGGCACAGGCAACAGTATATAAATAACGAGCCATCCAATCAGAGCTCTGATGTGTTCGATATTATATCCCAGAGCTCTGATTGGACAGTTTGTTATTCCCTGTTCCCTGTGCCTATTGTGTTTAAGCCTTAACGTGTTTCCGTGGCTATAGTGTAGTGCAAATTTTATGCACGAAATGGGGTTTTGCTATACGATCTCAAAGAGACGGTGTAGAGCCAGTGTGAAATTAAAAATTTGAAAATGGAAGTCAACCGACAGCAAAATTAAACATGATAGCATGGTGTATGTACACTTTTGTAGTGTAGCACTGATGCAGCACTTACACGCAACTGGTGTAGCGCGAGATTACACTTAGTGTATCTCAAGAGAAAACGCTACTAGGACGAAAAGTGAAAAGTGAAAAATTTCTCCATCAACTTTAATAATTATAATATAGCAGTGGATATTGGAACGCATTCTTTAATGCGTGGTCTACAATGGCAGCATCAGTAATGGATGAGCTATAAGAGTAAGAAATTGATCAATCACAGTCGATTATTCAATTGTGATAAACTCGTTAACTATCTTAAGATTAAGAGTTACATTCCGTTTCGTGCTTAATGTATCACTTATCCTTGTTGTTCACCGAATATTAAACAAGGATTAATGATTATACACATTATACACATTATGCATAAAACAGAATGCACTCTATAAGTAGTCTTTCTGCTACTCCCTAAGCTAACCAAAAGAACTAGAAATTTGAACAGACTGCAAAGTACTGCAACTGAAAAGGAGGGAGGCGCGCGCTGAGCTAACAACTTCGGGCGATTTCGTGCTCTTTCGTGTGCATTTTCAGGTATGAATATATCTTATTGGTTAAATGTGACAACTGTATGTACATCCCCAAGGAATACTATCCCTTGTACATACATCCCACAGGAGGACAATGTAGGAGCAGAAACACTTTCTATTCCAACACATGCAATACAACCAACGTGAACGGACTACATGGATTGTATTTTGTGAATTTTTCTTTTAGTTTAGCAAATTCAGTTTGGACTATCACTGTAAAAAATTGTATACAACCATATACAGACAAGTACGATACATATTATTATTATTATTAGGTGAGTGCAAAAATTAGTGTTAGATTTATTATTTCAAGCTTAAATTGCAATTTGGTAAAAAATTAATGAAATTTAAATTAAAAAAAAAAGTTTTAAAGATTCAAATCTCTATTTTTGAATGGTTTATACTATTTTTTTTAATTTATGTGAGTTTTGTAATTTTTAGTAATGTATAGAAAATGAGTTAAACGGGAAAGTTTTTCTTTACTTTGTAGACTAGTCACGTATCCAAAAAATTTGCAAAAATTTTGAATTTCTAATGTAAAATCTTTCTCTAAAAAAATTTTCTCTAAAAAATCATTTTTAAAAAAAGTCTATAAATTTTTATTACTGAGTTGTTGCGAATTATATAAAAAGAATATTTTGGTTTAATCGCTCATAATTCCATCGAATCATTATGATTAAAAAAAACAGATTCTTAAATTCTCTCATCAGAGTAAGATTTAGATTTTTATTTATTTTTGACAAAAATAGCAGCTGAATTTTAAATAATTAATAATTTAAATTGGGCATGAATTTTTGTACTCACTCAATATATTCAAATCACACGAGATTTGTTCGCGTCGCATGCTCCAACATGCTCCTACTTCCTCCAACTGTAGCTCCTACTCACTCAACGTTAGAGTGAGTAGGAGCTACAGTTGGAGGAAGTAGGAGCATGTTGGAGCATGCAATACGAACAAATTTTGTGTTATTTCTTATATCTTCCATCACTATTATTAGGACACAGTCAACAATGGGGTCAATCAGGGCCATGTGTCATTAATAAAGAAAAAAAAAATTAGCATTATTCTAATTGTTGTTACATTTGTATTTCTACAAAATGAACACGTATAGGAGTTCACCTAATATTTTAATATGTGATATGTGATAGCGTTGCTGTTATTCAATATAAATTTTAAATACCCTTAATAATTGTTGTCAATGTTTTTTAGGCCCACCTGGCGTAGGCAAGAGCACGTTGGCGAATTTGTTGGCTGAAGATACTGAATTAAACTGGATCGACGTCAGTAAAGTAGTTATTGATACTGGATATGTGAGTGACTATGATGAAGAGTTACAATGCAGCATATTGGATGGGAACACGGTAATTATTCTTGTAGCCATAGGTCCAGTTTCTACTGTAGATTTGAACCAGGTCAGAATGCAAGAACCAACTAACTCGAGTTAATTACCTTCATAATAGATTCCCCGAATTCAACAATGACATTTTTCCATGCCTGATTAATTCTACTCCAAAATTATACCGATTTCTATCGCCCTTCCTCAGTGAACATATAGGTCGTGTTCCGATATGCACTGCTAGTACTGAAAATCTAGTTTACATTACGTATACTGAATAATGAACAAATAAAATCATCATGGATTATTGATGATCCATACAATGTTAAGTTATTTAAAATTGGCCAACAAATTTGGTTGAATTAAAATTATGAAATATTTTCTATAGATTATATCGTCTAGGTCACATGTTAAACATGCAAATTTTTGTTTGCAATATCTTTCTTTCTAGTTAGTGGAACTTATGGAGAATTCGATGACAAAGGGAGGACAAATCGTGGACTATCATAGTACTGACTTGTTTCCTCCAAGTTGGTTTGATGCTGTGTTCATGCTTAGAGCAAACGACGCTACTTTAGATGACCGTTTATGTAAAAGACAGAAGACAGAAAGAAAGACCAAGAACAAATCAGATAGGAATATAGGAGCTTTTGCAATTGTTATCCAAGAAACACAAAACTCGTTTGATCCAGAAATAGTGCATGAACTAACGAACAATGTTCCAGAAGACATGCCAATTAATGTAGATAGAATACTTGAATGGATGGAGGAATGGAAAAAAGATAATATGTAAAAGTGATAAAATATGTTGAATACATAATTTCTGATAGGTTGAAATTCTTATTATCTGTTCTCTGTTCCCCGTTCCTTATATTGTGCGGAGTCCTTTAGATAATTTTACATGATATCGACCGACAAGATACTATTAAGGGGATCTTCGATTACCGAATTTGATCGAAGTCGATAGTACAGACTTGTTAATTCCAAATTCGATAATAGTGATATCTTTAATTCAATTCTTACATTATATTATATATCGTTCTGTCTTATTCAAATACATATGTGTCCTTATCTAACATATGCCAGCACCATCTATCGCAAGACCGCGCAACAGCTACTGCTACACGGAATTTCGACTTGTTGACATTCCCAGTCTTCGCAAAGCATCCGTATACATTGGAGGATAGAGATTAATGCCCGTATTCGTAGTCAGACCTTGTACTTAAGGCTTCCTTAAATTTATCTTTAGATGCTCAGTAGCCAATGAAATAATTCGTAGAGTATCTGAAGATAAATTTAAGGAACCTTAAATATAAGGCCTGACTATGAATATGGGCATAATACCTGTATTCATAGTCCTTCCTTGATGAATGAAGATTCTTTGTTTCTCATTTCAGGTTTCTCATAAACTTTCCTTAACCAATTATATATATATAATTAGACTAAATACTGGCACATTAAGTTAAATGAACAAAAATCTAATCACATTAACTTTACATTGAGAAAAATGAAACATAAGCCAATTCCAATTAATAAAAAAATTGTACTATACGCTAACACGGCCAAATACCTAGACATGATTTTGGACGCAAAGTTAAAAATGGAAAGAACATATGAAAAAGAAAAAAGAACTCAATATTATATATAGGAAAATGTATGGGCTTATCGGACGGAATTCTGAATTGTCAACACAGAACAAATTTTTATCCGTTGATAAATCTCTTCTCAAGTGAAACAATCTGATAGATAAATCACATTACATTTTATGTGAGAAACGACATGGTGAAGGCACATGAGATATTAGTATATATAATATACTATATACTATATATAATACACGTAAGCAAAAAAAAAATCAGAAATCAAAGAGTGATAGAGTAAACGGTATAACGCATTAAAACCATGAGCGAAGAAGAAAATATTTCTCATTAGCGCTTATTGAGAGCAGGTCAGCCGCTATACTGTAAAACGCGTGGACCGTATCATATCATAATGTAACATACGTGTTCATGATTCGCGTTAAGAGTGCGTATCTCGCAATCTCACAAAGTTATCCGATTGCAAACATGTCGGAATAACTCAGAATCTCCGTACCGACCGGCTGTGACTGACTGGCCTCACTGGCCAGCCGGCCACCGAAGAATAACATTTGTTAGAAATCGTAACGGTGTTTACAGCCATGTAGAATACCGCAAACTGCTGTGTCTATCAAAGTTACATTATGCATCACGGCGATTGATTGTGAATTAGCCCGATTTCGATGACATTGTGCGTAATACATATATGAATATGTACATCCTAAGGTTTGAGGAGCTAAAACTGAAGATTGATTAATCGAAGAGAAGGATTGTGTGAGACAAACGCGAATCAGGTGATAAATGATACTGCACGAAGATGATGAGCAACAAGGATAAAAAGACACTTGGTGGTACTCGGGTGGGAATCTAAACACAGCTTAGCAGGTTTAATCATCCCTCATTATCTGTTAAAAAGTTATTTCTTTCCACGTTAAAAAGTTATGACTCCACGCGAAGCGAAGTCTGTCTCACCTCTCTCTCTGCTTATAGGGGCGAACAACTTTCATCTCCTCTCCTGCTTGCTTAGGGGCGTAATTTTCCACGCGAAAGCGAGATCCACCCCAACTCTTCCCAAGATGAGCATCAAATTCTTATTATTATAATTCTGTCGGGACTGCGTTTTAAAAAGTCCGATAAATCAATTCGGTGGGCAATTTTCATGATATATGTAGTATCGAGTTATTTAAGCACTTAAGGTCCAGCTTTGAGGTCCACCCCGTTAAGGTTTTTCTTTTCTATTAAGTAGTTGTTTGTACAAATTGATTAAAAATATTTTAGTTTAAAATATCAATGTCAGGATTGAAATGTTTTCGCTTTCCCGTTCGGCTGAAGAAACGATACGAAGAAGAAGAAGAAGAAGAAGAAGAAGAGAAGGAGGAAACTCGGAAGACTGGGAGTCCAAGACCCTGACGAAGAGAAGGTGGGAGGACGGGCGGCCCCATCTTGGCTACTTTTCCGTTCCTCCTGTTGCTCCCGCGCCAAAAGTCAGACCGACGGGGGTCCGTTCAGTCTCGTTTCAGTTATCCTCACGCACGCGTAAACGCGATACGTCGCGGAGAAGATTGCCGCTAGTGCACGCTTGTTCATATCTTCTTCGTACCGCTGTCACGCAATCACCCTTCCGTGCACAAAGCTAACGATCGCGCTCGTTATCGGCGATGATATATATGCGTACGCCGCAGGTGAAGCGGAGAATCGATTCGATCTGGAGAAGCTACGTGATCAGTAAAGCGGAAATAATGCACGGAAGTCGTGTGACGATTCTTATTCTGTGCACGATGATGAATTGCCTGGTGAGTTCGTATTGTTTCCACGAATGTCTCCTGGATTTTAGCATTTATTAGGGTTGCTGGGTTGTTCTCCCCCTCGCTGGAAACGAGAATGAGCGCAAAAACGTTTTGTTTGGGCGATTTATAACATAAAGATTTATGACATAAGGACCTTGCCCGTTTTTAATGCAATAATTTATCTTATGTGTAACATGCGCATTTATCTTATGTGTGACGCCGCAATTACATTGCGTGGATTCTGCAGGATATCAAGATAGTCTAATGTATTAGGATCTGAGCACAAGAATTGTCGTAATACTTACTTATTGTTAGATTTAAGTTATAGATGTAAGCAACGTACAAGTTTAGCGTATGACGTTCCACTAACACCGTGTCTCTTGGAGATTAATTCTTTTGCACATAAAAGTATTATATTAAGATGAGGAGATAAAAAAACCAATAGTTTACGAGATTTTATACTTTATTTTGGGACGTGTTTTAACATAGAGCAGCTCATTGCAATGTTCAATATCGATATGTCGAATAATATATTAATGAAACCAATGGCACCATTTTTTGTCATCTTTGAAGTCATAAAACTTTGAAGTCATAAAACTTTTGTTTAAATTATTTATAGATTTTAATATACTTATCATCATCGTTAAGATGCCTATGAGCAAATTATTAAATTATTAGATAATTTACTTTGTGATAGTATTACGATAATTCTGTCAATATCAAATTCGAAAAATCAATTCGGCGCATAGTTTGGCAAAATTTGATAAGTAATATATAAATTTTTACACCGAATTATTTAAATATTAAAGATCCAATTTCGATAGTTATAAGTTTTATTTCCTATTGAATGCATAAAACTTTTGCGCAAAACCATTTTTTAATACAAATATTGATTTTCGAGAAAAATTAATGCGTCAATTAAAATTACTCACTCTGTATCGCGTATTAATGCAAATTATACTATCTTATAAATTTATATCTGAATTCACTTTTTTTCTTAATTCCATATATGATGTTTTCCATTATAAAGTTCGAATAAATAAATAATGTCATGATTAAATTATGACATTATAAAAAAGGCGAACTTTATTTTGTTCGAAAACTAAGTAAAATTTTTTTCTTTGCAATGTGTTACTTCCTAAACATCTTCAATATACATAATGTGGTAATGTACACAATGTACGTAATTCAAGTTTTGAGATAAAAATTATATAAATTAATATAAACATTTCATAAAAATATTTTGATTATATTTTTATTCTAAATAGGATTTTTACAATTAATATATTCCGAATACCGTTTTTCTCTTTTTTTTACCATTTGCATTCCAAGTAGCACATAGCGCCAACAATATAGCGCTATAACAAAGCGCTAAAAAAACGCATATAGGTGCTTTATTAGCGTTTTGTAGGCGCTGGTGTACTACTTGGGATCAGTTAAGTACTCCTCCTTTATAATCATCTTCAATTAGTCAGTCACATCCGTTACAGTTTAAATTTCTGTTGAATCTTCAGCCTTTTAATTGCAATGTTGGAAATATGAAATAGTTGGAGGAGACAAGTTGAGTAGAATGGGTGATAAAATATTTCTTTAAATCATTCAATGATATTCTAGAAATTTAAGTCGACTTGTGACCGATTAATTGTTCTTTATTTTATATGATTTTTGTCTTTATTTAAAATTTATGCACTATATTCTGCACAAGTACAAGTTACTTTGCATTAGAACGACAACCACTCACTGAGCGCTCAGTGATCTGTTTCGTCTGATTGCCACATTCTGTTAGATCCTAAAATATAGATTAGCAATCTAGAGAGCGAATTAAATACGCAAATCGTCACGTAACTGCACATACAGAAAAGAGACCTATTCTTTTTAACTAAATTTTTGCATCAGTTTATCTTAATTTCTTCCTTTTCTCTTCAAGAGAAAAGAAGAAGAAAAAAAATGAACTGGTATAAAAGTTCAGTCAAAAAGAATAGGCCTAAAAGATGCCAAGTCTGTAATGTTGATTCAAGATGTAAGTGTACTTCTGTGATTGGTTCAAGATGTCATATATTTCTTTGTTGATTGGATGAATAGACTTATTTTGAGCATATATTTTTGGCAAATTTTTTGCAGTAATTAAAGGGACAAATTTAGCAATTTAGTATAATATACAGAAGTCTGTGGTTGTTTGATGGGTTAAATAATGTTTACTGACTTCATTCTGTGACATCATTATATGTAACATAATATTTTGAATTAGCTGCTTCTCGATTAGTAAAGTATTATAGTATAATAATTATTTGTACGTTTTTTTTTTCACGGACATAATTATCATGTATGATCCATCCATCAATTTGTTTACTATATGATGTGAGCTTTTCTTCTCAGCATAACAATTTTCTCATTCGCCCATAATCAAGAGCTTAAACGACTTGCTATTATCATTTTTGTGCTAATTCGTTAGTATGAGTACAGATAT